CACCACTGTCGTAGGACGTATTATGAGTCAACTGCCCACCGACCCCCAACTTTCCGACACCGTTCGCGGCCTAACAGTGAGGGTTGGCGACCTGTTGGCTACGCTGGCAATTGCACGCAACTGCATGCACATAATGCGTGGCTGGGGCGATGCGAAGTCCAAGGCAACCCTGCCGGCCTACAGACGCTCCGTGAAGTCCAGTCGTCCGGGCATTCTGCCCTGTCCGGCCGTCACCTGTGTCCTCCAGGAGGCTGACTTACCGGAGGGTTACATCATGAACAGGCAACTCCTCACGACGCTTCAGAACACCATGGCGCAATCATGGCAGTGTACGTTTGACATTCGATTACGCCTTCACATCTACAGTACGCGCCAGAATTCGTGAAACATGCCGATATATGCGAAAGATTGATACTCCTTCGCTAATCAGCATTGACTCAGGTTGTGATGATACTGATTATCATGTAGTCTATTCTTAAGTTATTTCAGTCATGATAGGATGCGAGCTTTTAAATGAGCTTCGTTCTGACCAATAACAAAAGGTACGTACCGTAAAAAGTAACTACTTGAATAATATGCATTTTCTCTCATTTATTTTGACAGTTTTTATAAATTCAAATATATTCCATGGAAAAATGCACGAAATCTTATTTCTTGTAGTCGTTTGGTAGCAAATTGCGCCTTCTTGAAATTTTATGCTTAAAGAAGGTATATGTTTCGGTTTTAAAATACATAAAAGCAAGGTCATTGTTCAGCCAGGCGAATAGCCAATAATAATGTTGCCTTTAAACTTGAGATTTAGGAAGGAAAGGTAGGGAAACAATTTAACAAAAAATAGACAAATTGGACCTTGCGTTACATAGAAGCAGCCGTTATACGGTATGACAAACCCGATCTATGTAAGCACTCAGGTTACGTAACTAATCCAACTGCATTAGTAACCATAGGCCTAGATTTAATCAACCTTTTGATTTTTTATTAATTCCCTTACCCACTTTTCCTTCCTACATCTCAAGGTTAAGGGCAGCATCATTATTGACTATTCGCCGCGTTGAATAATGACCTCGCTGTTATGTATTGGTTCTGCGCAACTTCAAACTGTTGCGTACCGCACCCGTTAGCTATCTAATACAAAGCAGGGAAGCAATTGAAGCTACAAGTAATTCCTCCCGTATACGCTTGCTTTGAATGCATACCTGGGAAATGATGCTCTAAATTTAAAGATGTTAGACGCCATGCGTTTCGGTGTGTCCGAGGATAAATTCATTCGCTAACTTTCCTCGCGACCAGTAGACCGTTGTCACAATTTTCTTGGCAACAGTACTTTAAGAGGGTGCACCTCATATACCCCTAGTTCCAGTATTTTGTCCTGCCGAAACCATAGTTATAAGGGTTTTTTGTGGGTGGGGAATTAGGATAGGCAGTGAAATATATTTTAATAACTGATATTTGCATTTTTATTTTATTGTGTTTGGAAATGTTGTTGATTTATATCTGTAGATTTTCCTAATCTGTATTATCATTAGACGTATTGCGGAAAAATTCGATTATCAAAATTCCTGAAGAAAATGGAATGCTGATTAGGAGGTCGTCTACCTCAACTTACCTGGGGTCCAACTTACAGTTCTGGAGTTAAATTAGTATCGTCTGCGGCGCGAAGTGCCCCGCACAGCTTCACTTTACATGCGGAACATCATATACCCAGCGGCCGCGATAAACAAATGCAACTATATATGTGTACACG